TTTCATTCTTTGGCATGTGGATATCCAGTTTCCCCAATACCATTTCTTGAAAGACTGTCCTTTCCCCACTGTGTGTTCTGAGCACCCTTGTCAAAGGTCAGTTGACCATATATACATGGATATATTTATTCTTGGGCTCTCTATTCAGTTCCACTGGCCTATATTTCTGTTTTTATGCCAGTACCATACTGTCTTGATTACTGTAGCTTTGTAATATTTCTGGAAATCAGGAAGTATGCCTTCAGTTTTGTCCTTCTTTCTCAAGATTGCTTTGGCTATTTGGGGTCTTTTGTGGTTCCATATGCATTGTAGGATTGTTTTTCTATTTCTGTGAAAAAAGCCATTAGAATTTTGATAGGGATTGTATTGAATCTGTCGATTGTTTGGGGAAGTATGCACATAATATTAATTCTTCCAATCCATGAACATGGGATGTCTTTTCATTTATTAGTCTTTTTAAATTTCTTTTATCAGTGTTTCATAGTTTTCACTGTGCATGTTGTTCACATCTTTGGTTAAGTTTAACCCCAAGTATTTTATTCCTTTCTCTGCTATTGTAAATGGGATTGTTTTCTTAATTTCTTTATCAGATAGTTCAGTGTTACTGTACAGAAATGCAACTGATTTTTGTATATTGATTTTGTATCCTGCAACTTTACTGAAACCATTTATTAAATCTAACAGTTTTTTTTAGCAGAGTCTTTTGGGTTTTCTATATATCAGATCATGTCATCTGCAAACAGAGACTATTTTACTTCTTTCTGTCCAATTTGGATGCCTTTTATTTCTTTTTCTTGCCTAATTGCTCTGGCTAAGACTTCCAGTATGACGTTAAATGGGAGTGGTGAGAGTGGCCATCCTTGCCTTGTTGCTGATCTTAGAGGAAAACCCTTCAGTTTTTCATCATTGAGTTTGATGCTAGATTTTGCCTTTTCATATATTGCCTTTATTATGCCGAGGTAAATTCCTCCTAGACCTAATTTATTGAGAGTTTTTATCATGAAAGGATGTTGAATCTTGTCAAATGCTTTCTTTGCATCTATTCACATGATCATGTGATTTTTTTTTATATTTCATTCTGTTAAGGTGGTATATTACATATATTGATTTGTATATGTTGAACCATTCTTGCATCCCAGGGATAAATCCCGCTTGGTCATGGTGTATGATCCTTTTAATATGCTGTTGAATTTGGTTTGCTAGTATTTTGTTGAAGATTTTCGCGTTTATGCTCATTAGGAAAATTGGCCTATAGTTTTCTTTTCTTGTGGTGTCTTCCTCTGCCTTTGATATCAGGGCAATACTGGCCTCATTTGGAAGTGTTCTCTCCCATTCAATTTTTGGAACAGTTTGAGAAGGATTGGCATTAATTCTTCCTTAAAAGTTTGATAGAATTAACCAGTAAAGCCATCTGGTCCTGGGCTTTCCTTGTTGGGAGATTTTTGATTACTGATTCAATCTCCTTACTAGTTATAGGTCTGATGAGACTTTCTATATCTTCATGATTCAGTCTTAGTAAGTTGTTTGTTTCTATGAATTTATCTATTTCTCCTAGGTTATTGAGTTTGCTGGTGTATAACTAATTGTTCATAGTAATCTCTTATGATCCTTTTCATTCCTCTGAGATCAGTTGTAATATCTCATTTCTGATTTTATTTATATGAGTTTTTCTTTTCTTTCTTTTTTTTTTTCATTTGAGGAAGATTAGCTCTGAGCTAACATCTGCCACCAATCCTTCTCTTTTTGCTGAGGAAGACTGGCCCTGAGCTAACATCTGTGCTCATCTTCCTCTCCTTTACATGTGGGATGCCTGCCAAGGCATGGCTTGGTAAGCAGTGCATAGATCCATGCCTGGGATCTGAACCAGCAAACCCTAGGCCACCAAAGCAGAGCATGCGAACTTAACCACCGCACCACCAGGCCAGCCCCTGAGTCTTCTTTTTTTTCTTAGTCTAGCTAAGGGTTTGCCAATTTTGTGTATCTTTCAAAAAACAACTCCTAGTTTCATTGATTGTTTTCTACTGTTCTTTATTTCATTTAATTTCAAAGTAATTTTTGGACAAGATGAAAGGTAGGGATCAAGGTTCATTTCTTCCCCATGTGGATATTCAGTTGCTCCAGAACTATTTATTAAAAAGACCTTCGGGGGGCCAGCCCTGTGGCCAAGTGGTTAAGTTTGTGCACTCCGCTTCAGCAGCCCAGAGCTTTGCCAGTTCGGATCCTGGACGCACACATGGCACTGCTCGTCAGGCCATGTTGAAGTGGCATCCCACTTGCCACAACTAGAAGGACCCACAACTAAAATATACAACTATGTACTGTGGGAATTTGGGGAGAAAAAGAAAAAAAAAATTGGCAACAGTTGTTAGCTCAGGTGCCAATCTTTACAAAAACCCAAAAATCTTTTTCCACATAGGATTCCATTTACTCCTTTTCAAAAACCAAGTGACCAATTTCCTGAGTCTATATTTGAACTCTGTTCTGTTCCTTTGGTCTACTTTTCTATCCTTATTACATTTTTTTATTGATTTAATTACAATAGCTTTATAGGAAGTCTCAAAATCTAGTAGTATAATTCCTCTTTGTTTCTTTCAAGATTATCTTAGCTATTTTAGGTTCTTTGCATGTCTGTGTAAATTTTAGAATCAGTTTGTCAATTTCTACCAAAAGTTTGCTGGGATTTTTTTTAAGATCGTGTTGAATCTATAGTCAACTTGGGGAGAATTGATACCTTTACAGTATTGAATCTTCAAATTCATGAACATGGTTTGTCTTTTCTCCTACTTATGTCTTCTTTAATTTATCTCAGCAGTGTTTTTAAATTCTTGTACATCTTTTACTAAATTTATTCCTAGGTATTTAATGTTGTTTATGCTATTATAAACAGCATTGATTTTCAATTTATTTTCCAAATTTTTACAATTACTATATACAAATTAAAATATAGATTGACCCTGTATCCTGTAATCTTGTTATATTAACTTATTAGCACCAATAGTTCTCTTTTATATACTTTATGCCTTTGAATTTCCTATGTAAAAAATCATGCCATCTGCAAATAAAAACAGTTTTACTTCTTCCTTTCCAATCCTTGTGTCTTCTGTTGCTTTTTTCTTGATACACTGGATAGGACCTCCATTTTAATGTTGAATAAAAGTGATGAATGTGAACATCATCTTTTCCAGTCTTCAGAGGCAAAGAATTCAGTATTTCACTATTATGATGTTAGCTGAAGATTCTTTTGGATACCTTTTATCAGATTGAAAAGTTCCCCTTCTATTCCTAGTTTGCTGATATTTTTAAAAGTCATGAATGGATGTTGAATTTTATCACTTTTCCTATATCTATTGATATGCTCATATTTATATTTTTTCTCCTTTATTCTGACAACATGTTGAATTATATAGACTTACCACAAGTGTTAAACCAAACTTACATTCCTGGAATAAACCTTACTTGGTCATGATGTACTATCCTTTTGCCATATCACTGGATTTGCATTTTTTCATTTGGGACTTTTGCACCTACGTTCATAAGGGATGTTAGCCTGTAATTGTATTTTCTTATAATGTACTTTTAAGGGTATGATATCAGAGTTATTCTAGTTTCACAAAACAAGTTGGTAAGTCTTCTCCTGGGTTATTCTCTAAAAGACTTAGTGTAAGATTGGTATTATTTCTTCCACAAATGTATGGCAGAATTTACCAATGGAGCCATCTAGACCTGGAGTTTGCTCTCTGGAAAAGTTTTTGTTACACATCCAATTTCTTTAACAGTTATAGCACTATTCAGATTTTCTATTTCTTCTTTGTCATTTTGGTAAGTTGTGTTTACAAAGTTTCCATGTCCTCTAAGTTGTCAAATTTATTACCTTAAAGTTTTTAACACTATCATATTATCTTTTTAATGCCTATAGGATCGGTAATGTTTCTCATATTGACAACTTTAGTTTTCTCTTTTTATTCTTGATCTTGCTAAAGCTTTATCAATTTTATTCATCTTTTCAAAGAACTAACTTTTGGCTTTGGTTTCTACTTGTCCCACCTTATCTTTGTTCCTCCTTTTGCAACATCTTCTGATTTTCATTTTTTCTATTATTTGTGTTCTATTTTGTTGCCTTTATATTATTTGTCTACTTTCTTAGGGTTTAATTTGCTCTTCTATTGCTCACTTCTTGATTTTTAACCCTCTCCTTTTCTAATAAATGCTTACAAACTATATAAAATATATTAAAGCTATAGATATTCCTCCATTGTTCTAGCTGTATCCACAAATATTGGTAAATTGTGTTTTCATTTCATTAGTACATAATATTTTCTAAATTCCTTGTGATTTCCTTTTGACCCATGGGTTAGTCAGAATTTTGTTGCTTAATTTCCAAATATTTGGTGATTTTTCTAGATATTTTATTATGATTTCTAAATTCCATTATCATCAGAGAATATATCCTATATGATTTATCACTTTGGAAGTTTTGAGACTTGCTTTATCACTGAGCAATGATCTATTTTGGTGAATTATCCATGTGCACTTGAAGAGAAAATTCATTCTACATTTGTTGGACATAGTGTTTTATAAATACCAATTATGTCAAGTTGGATAAAACTGTTGTTCAAATAGTCTATGCATTACTCATTTTTTTTCTCCTCATTCTCTCAATTACTGAGAGAGATGTATTAAAGTCTCCAACTATGAGTATGGATTTTTCTATTTACCCTTTTAGTTCTGCCAATTTCTGCTTCATGTATTATGAGCTTTTATTTTTCAATGAACACACATTTAGGATGTTTCCTAATGAGATCATCATTTCATTATTGTGAAATGACCTTCTTCATATCTGGTAATACTCTTTGTCTAGGGGGGCTGTTTTTTCCAATATTAAATAGTAATACTATATTTCTCATCACAAGTGTTTACACAAGTATTTTTCCATCCTTTTACTTTAAACCTATCTTATTTTTAAAGTGTATTCTTGTAAACAGCATATAGCTTGAGTCTTATTTTCTGAATTCAGACTGATATTGTTAAGATTTTTATTTGATATTTAGTCTACTTACATTTTTTAATAAGCATTTTATTTTGGAATAACTTTAGATTTACAGAATAGTTTCAAAAATACTACTACAGGTCCTAAATACTTCTCACCTAGTTTCCACTAATGTTAATATCTTACATAAGCATAGCGTATTTACCAAAACTAAAAAACCAAAACTAGCACATTACTATTACATAAACTCCAGACTTTATTTGGATGTCACCAGTCTTTTCATAAATGTCCTTTCTCTGTTCCAGGATCCAATCCAGGATTCCATATTGCATTTTTTTATTCCACATTTACTTTTAATTCAATTACTGATACAGATGGACTTAAGTCTGTCAGCATGCTATTTGTTTTCTATTTGTCCCATATTATCTTCGTTCTTCCTTTCCTGACATCTTTTGATTAATCAAATATTTTTTAGTATTCCATTTTATCTGCTGAACTGCCTGTGCTCCTGCATCTTCCTGACCCTTGTTGACAACCTCTCCTGGTGAACCTCATTAAGCATCCAAGACCCCAAAGAAAAAGATACTTTAAAAAGATGTTACTCTGCTCCCTAGACAGGGCTCAACACTCAAGTTTCATGGCTACATCTCCTCACCAAAGACTGGCTTACTGGGGGCAGTGGGAGGAAGGGGGACCTATTGCAGAGAGGGCCAGCTCTGGCTGTAGCTGTCGGGTGCTGTACTAACTGAAATCAAAGGGCTGAAGTTGTCAGAGCAAGACGCGTGACCTGAGCAAGAAACTGCAGAGGAAATCACAGACGTGGCATATCCGATGAGCTGTAAAACTGAAAAAAAAAATCAAAACTTTTCTAAACAATCAATAATAACAAATATCCACTATGCTAAGTAAAAGGCTGAATTATCTTTCTGTTCTTCTTTATAGAAGTATTACATAATCATTTTCAAATGCTGAAGTGATCAAAGAATATGCAGCCAAAAATGTAGGAGGAAAGTATTATGAAGGGATATCTAGCAGTTGATAATAATATTATCCTGAATTTTATGATGTTTGTGCCACCTACAATGTATTGTCATTTCTTTTCTCATTCCAAATAAATATTTACTTTCATATCTAATTTCATATTTGTGATTTTGTATTATTCTTCATAAAGACCATCCCTCCCAAACTGTATAAACTTCAGGCTAGATCCACTGCTGCTTTCGTACATGCCTGTTTTTGTTTCTACCATCATAATTTATACTTTAGTATATATACATGTACATATATACTTATATGTATGCCCTCTCTCATTCTCTCTCTCCACCCAAACACACACACACACAGAGGGAGGGAGGGAGACGTAGAGAGAGTCAGAGAGATTTTGCAGTTCCCTCTGTGTTCTAACTCTTGTTATATGAACTTTTTTTTCTTACTTTCTCCAGTGATATTGAGGGTATACATATTATTTTAGATTCCACTAATGATTATCATTTATGTTTTTAATGTCTATATGCTTGAATCTATTTTTTTAACTGGCTGAGATCCAACTGAACAGTTTATTTTGGCTCCCCTTATGTATGATTGAATTCAGCACATTTTCTCCCCTTATATTGGACATCTCTTGGCCCTGTCTCACATCCACTGGACCCACTTTTACTCTAGCCACAGCCATCTCCACACAGTGAAACTGACAGGAGTTCACCACAGCAGCATCATACACTTTTTTCCTGCCCCAGGGCTCCTCTAATATTGTCCTATTGCACAGAACCCCTGTGGAAGCCCTCTATGTATTCATGCATACACAAAAGCAATGTGACCATGAGTCAGTCTTTGATGAATGGGGATTGGAAGTCAATGCATGAATGCTTTCCCCCTTTCTTTGGGCAGGCAATTTTGAGGCACATTAGATACAGCTTCTCAAAAGATTCCACTGAAATTGGGCTCCAGTCGCCCATAGCAGTGACAGATACTATAAAGCACCTTTGCAATGACTTTTCCTCCTGTTTGATTCTCCCTGGTTTCACTGCTTCCTTGGATCACTTTCCAAAATAAATTATCTACACACAAGTCTTTGACTCTACTTTTGGGGGTAACCCAGACTAAAACACTCCTCTTCTATCCCTCTTCAAAACTTCGCAAGCTTTGCTGACATAATTTGAGGTCTTAAGAGTCACCATTATTATAGAAAACAAATCCCACTTACCAGATGGCTTCCTGGTCACGTAATGATATTCATGTCTACAGCCACTCAAGTCACCTCTCACCTAAGAAGAGGCCTGTCTGCTACTTTCTTGTGCATCCAGAAAAAGATCCACCACTGCTCACAGGCAAAATTCAACTACAGACTTCACCTGGCTCACAGGAGGTAAGAGAGGTGGACCCCTGCTAGACCATAATCTCCAGCACACTGGATCATTTCAAAGTCAATCCACTCCATTCAGAACTTTAGGGGGTGACCCAGCCTCCTCTTTTCGAGATTGAGAAATAAAAAGGAAACTAAACAATAACACAACTGTAGATGAAACCTACCTCAGCTCCTGCATTAACTGGGACTCTGATGGCGAATGAATGAAATCCAATTTCAAATGGCATTAAGCTATTATCAAAGAGGTTTAATGGTTCATGGAACTTAGGAGATGAAAACAGAGCCGTCATCTGACATGAAAAAGCCCAGAGCTCAAACTATCCTGCGATTAATCTCTCTTCCCATCACTTTCCCATCTCTCTCTCTCCTCCTACATCTGTCCTCCCCACCTAACATCTTTTTCTTCCTCTCTTTTCATTCTATAGCCCATCTTTCAGCTCTGTTTCTGTGTGTTGGCCTCATTTTCTCTTTCTGTAGATGGGCTTTCTCCCAGGGATAGAGAAGATGGCAACAGGGGCTCAATATTTGTCACAGCCCCTGAGGTGACAGAGAATTGTACTGGGCAGCCAGTATGACCAATGGGTATTATCCTACTGGCTGCTTGGCATCCAAATACCCTTTCCAATTGAAGGGAAATCCAAAAATAAGGCTCTGCAGCTCATTACAGATGCTGAAAGCAAGGAGGGATGGGTGTAACTTTTCCTGTTCTCTGGAAGCTAAAGCACGAGCACAAGACCTGAGGGTAGCCAATCAGATACTCCCAGCCATGACCTTGAATCTAGAGGAAGAGGTGCAAAGGTTTGAGAGCTGGAGATTAAGCAGGATAGCTACAGCAGCACCGTGTGGAGGTGAGCATACAGCGATGGGGTGGCAAGTATGCAAGGGCTGCAGAATCCAGAACCAAAGCCACACCATTAGAGATGGTGTTAGCAGGGTCATCTTAAGACTGAAACTATGTCTTGCTTCCACTGAGGGCTGCCCAAGCTTCATCTCCAGGCTTCCACTTGGTTGGATGAGCTTCCGGATTCCCTCCCAATAACTTACTTCTCAAAACAGTAACCAGAGTAGGTTTCTATTGTTTATAAAAAAGAACTCTAACTAGTACAGCAGACATATTTTCCAGCTGCAGAAGAAAAATTTCAAAGACATTGCTGGCCAGGCCTGGTCATACACCCACAACTGTTTTGTCTATTGCAAGAATGGGGCGAGGGGGCGGGGGGTGGGAATGGCAAGTGAGGAGTGGAAAATATGCTGAGCAGCCCCTGCAATAGCTATTAGGACTGAACAAGCTTGACTTTCATTTATAAACATGAATACATAATGAAAAATCACCAGTCATATGAAGGAAATCAGATGCTCCAGAGTGGAAGCAAGGTGACTAATGAAAGCAAATGACTCTCCTCTGAAACACTTTATGCAAAAAATAAATAACTTCTAAAGCAAACTTTATGTATTCAATGAGATTCCAGAGGCTGTGGCGTGCAGTAGAAGAGAATGAAACTGCAGGAAGGTCAAGGTCCTAAACAATCTGGCCCTGTCATTTCTCCAACCTCATTTTCCGCTGCTCTCCATCTTGCTCACTATGGCCTTTTTTCTGTTCTCAAATACGATAACCTCCTTCTTAATACAAGCCACTGCACACACTATTCCATCTACCTGGAATGCTCTTTCTTGCCTTCCCCTGCCAATCCCACCCTCATAAATATACAACAAATTCCTTTCCATACTTTAAATTTTAGCTTAAATATAATTTCCTCAGAGAGGTCCTTCCTGACAACCCTATTTAAAGTCAAATATTGCTCAAGCATTCTCTATCTCAGTCTCTCATTCCTTTGATTTAGAGTGACCTTGGGACTAAGTCACTTAAGCACTGTTCACCTCAGGTTCTTCACCTGTAAACTGGGAATTATAAAGAGTAACTACCTCATAAGGTTGCTTGGAAGATTAAACGAGTTCATCCATGTAACGCACTTAGAATTCAAGCACACAATAGCACTCAGATGCTATTATTTCCTTCACAGCACTTATCACATAGTGAAATTCTTTTATGTTTCTATTTACTTTTTAAAAAATCTGCTCTCCCACAGCATAAAAGCTCCATTAAGGTTAGTAACTCTTCTGTTTAGTTCACAGTGCCAGGTTAATATATATTTGTCAAGAATAAGCAAACGAAGAAAATATTTTCTGAAAATGGATAAAATATTATTATATCAATACCTTAGGACAATGTGGTGGCCATGAAATGCTCCACTCAGATCTTTTGCTGTGGGGAGCACAACTGACTGACAGCCCCAGCTGTTAACTTCTGGATCCACCCCATTTGCACCAAGGCCAGGCTTCCTGAGGGCTGCTTCTAGTCAATGACTGAGCATGGCAGAGGTACTAGTGCAAGTCCATTCTGGCAAACCGCAGGACTCCTCTGACAAGAAGTATGGCCTGAGGACTCTCCACTGGCAAAGTCAAACCTTTCTTGGAGCTGCGCTTCACTCAGAAACTTCCTACCTAATCCTCCCTCCTCGGGTGTCAGCCCTGCATTGTGGTCCGCAAGCTCTCCCTGCCTGCTCCTGCTGACTCCATGATAAACTTCTTGCACATCTAATCCTGTGGTGGTGTTTGCTTCTTGGTAGACCCGAACTAACACAATCAGGACCTCTGGAAGCAAACTCTGAGGTGAGAATTCATGGGCAAATGACTTATTAAGGTGCTCTCAGGAGAAACCAGGAAAGGAGAGAGAAACAGGACAAGAAAGGGGAACAAGTCAAGCAAGGGTACAATTTCAGGCAAAATCTCTGCCTAACCCTGCAGGGAAGCTGGGCTTAGCAGGGCAAGAAGTCACCCACTATTCTATTTCTCACCCTGAATTATGTTCACGTATGTGGTCCAACCAAGCTCACCAAACAGGCTTTTGCAATGTACACTAGATAATGATATATACAGTACTTACAATTTAATAAAGTAATACTTCATATATAGTCCAATAATATTGTACCTGTGACTCGGAGATACTAGGCACTCAATAAATGTGTTGAGTAAATAGTACAATATTAATATAAAATGAAAATTGCCACCACCCTATAAAAGACAGCAGCCACACACTTTTCACATAATTTCTCTTTTTCCACAAAAACGTAAGTCCCAAAATATATACAAAGTAGCATCCCTCTTCCATCTTTATTCTTCTCAGTTCCATTCCTCTCCCAACGAAGGAGTCTCATTCTTTTTGCTCAATTTTGCCTCTCCAACATCAGTTCCCTCTCAATATCATTATTTCAATCCACTCAAATTACAGAGAGGGAAGGGGAAAGATGGCTAGGGCCCAGAACCTGAACCAGCAAAAGCTGCAATCCAACATCCTAATGTGGTTGACTGATGAATGGAGCAAAAAGTTTCCTCTTCCCTAAGCGAGGATAAGGACTAGAACAAAAGCAGACTAGGCTGCCTCTCTTGGTCTTTGCTCCTAGATCTCACCACTCCAATGGTAACCTGAATCCATGTAAGAGCACACCAAGGAAAAGAGGAAGGAAGATGCAAATGCTTAGAACCGATCTAAACCATCCACCCTAGGATTTTCAATGGAGGGTATTTCTTAACAGAGAAGCAGTCCCTCATCCATCTTACCTCACTAACGTAAGAGGAAAAATGGGTGCACAATAAGCTTAAGTGAAGAGGTTACATGTTATTGGATGTCTGCCCTTTGAATGTTACTATTACATAGTTTTAAAAAATTTACAGGGGCCAGCCCCATGGCTGAGTGGTTAACTTCACGCACTCCGCTATGGCAGCCCAGGGTTTCGCTGGTTTGGATCCTGGGTGCAGACCTAGCATTCCTCAAGCTGTGCTGAGGCAGTGTCCCACACAGCAGAACCAGAAGGACCTACACTAGAATATACAACTATGTTCTGGGGGGCTTTGGGAGAAGAAGAAAAAAAAAACGATTGGCACCAGATGTTAGCTCAGGGCCAATCTTTAAAGAAAAAAAAACTTATAATGTGTTATTATCGATGACAATATAATCCTCACCCTTAGCCAATTGTAAGGAAACAATTTATGAGACATTAAGATGGTAATGTCTGTTGGTAAAGATTCAAGAGTTAAGGATTAAAGCTAGGCTCAAATCCCAAGCTAGCTTTCTCTAGCCACGTGACCTAGGAGAGACGAGCCTGTTTCCTCACAGATATATTGTTATGTACAATGTTGTCGTAAGGGGTAGAAATAATCCAACAAAAGTATCTGGCTCATAGAAGGTGCTCAACAAAACCTGACAATTACTTATCACAGTATAACATGGTGGCAAGAACATGAAATCTGGGATCAAAACCCCTGGGTGGTCTCATTTTGCTAATTACCTCTATCAAGAACCCTATCCCTTGAGTTTGCTTCATGTGTAAAATGGGCATTATAGCTGTATTACCCACCTCAAAATATCATTTATAGGATCAAATGAGGAACTACATGTTAAGTGCACAGGGAATTATAAAGCATTTATTAATGTGATCTAAATGCTAAAGTATTTTTCTACTGCAATGATTTTTGAATGACATCTTTTTAAAATGCATTACCTACTTTCTTGCTTTATTAAATATAATCTTATCTTGAGGTCTGAAATCATACTGATGTTTGTGATGTCTTTGCCCTTTTTAAGCTATCCAGCATCAGATTGCTGCTTTTTCAAAAATACGTTTTGTTAAAATTTTCATTGCGGTAAAATATACATAAAATTTAGCATTTTAATCATTTTAAGTGTACAGTCCAGTGGCTAAAGTACATTCACATTGTTGTGGAACCATCACCACTATCCAGCTCCAGAACTTTTTCATCACCCCAAGCTGAAATCTGTACCTATTAAACAACAACTCCTCATTATCACCTGATGATTGCTGCTGTTTTCCCTGTTTCTTTACCTGGTGTTGCTTCCCTTGTTAGCAGCAAAACAGCTCATTTTCTCCTTCCCTCAAAATACACTGCTGGCTATAACTTGGCAGGAACTATAAAAGCCATTTTTAAACCCACAACATTCTTTGGCTTCAAACGTTAATACCACCTGGTTCCAACTTCAGTTTTCAGCCCTATTTCTGTTCAGAACCTAATGTTAAAGTAAACAGCTGTCTTTCGCTGTGCTTCCTCGCTTCACACCTCTGCTCATACCTTCTCTCCATGTGGAATGTCTTTCCTGTTCAGCCCTTCCCACTCTACCTATGCCTACCAGAATCCTTCAAGGTCCAGGTCATGCTCTATCTTCTCCATGAAGACTCCTTGACCACCTCATATGGTAGTGATCTCTCTTTCTCCTTTGACCTCTTACAGTAGTTATTATCTAAATTACTAATGATAGAAATTGTACACTGTAGTTGTTTCATGTTAACCATAGCTCCTCAAAACAGGAATTAAGCTGTATTATTTTGTTCATTCAATCATTTGTTCATATATTTATTATTCATTCAACAAATACTGTCCACTGTGTACAAAAATGCCCCCAAAATAATTGCTGAATAAACAAATAACATTCTAAGTCACTGGGCTTTCATGGATGAGTCAATAAACACCAGCTCTTCTTGTGTTTGGGATTTTGTAAAAACTAATTTTATCTACCTCTCAGGTCTTAGTTGTGCTCCAGGTAGTTAGTAATCATCTGTAATATAATAATAATAATCCTATTACACTAGCTACCTATTAAATTAGTTAATACCAGTTTATTTTGCCTATTTGGACATTTAAGTTATACAATCAAACCTGAATGATTCTGTTGATTCTAAAAAAGACTGTAGTGTTCCAGGTAGCCATCACTGTTCTCAATTCCCACTTAGGGGCAAGACCCTAAAGTTGTCTTTCGTTAACTTCCTACATCCTCGTTGGATGTCAATGAGGGGAACAAGGTAAAGGGCGCCTAGCTTTCTTCATTTAGGTACCCATAGAAGGGAATTAGAGCCGGTAGGAAGTTCCTCGCACTTGGGTCACAGCTTCTTTCCTCACAGCATAATCCCAACTGAGAAAGTTACTGCCACTTGGCTTCTCATTAGCCAAGGCTCTCAAGTGAGAGGAGACAAGGGAGGAAATCGCTGAGGAGACAGGGTTTCGCAACGGGTGCCTCCACCCGGACGCGGCGCCACCCATTTTCCAATCGGAGCCGAGTACTGCATTCCTCCTCGGTCTTTCTCTTTAGCAGAGACCTCTACGTGCCAGCAAAGTTAACTGATTCCAAGATATTAACACTAATACTTAGATTGCTTTACAAGCCCCACTTGCCTTCATTATTCCGTTCGCGCTTTTCAACAGCCCTGTGATACAGGCATTACTGGTATTTCACAGGAGAGTGAACTGCTCCTGAGCCACAGGGCTAATGCGTAAATCCGGAGCTGAGACCACTCCTTCAGGGAGAATGACTGCGGTCCGGAGGCCCAAGGCCACTGCCAACGCTTCCCCAGATAACCCGCCAGGCTCGGACCCTCAGGCAGCCGGTACCTTCCCCCGCGGCCCATTGAGCCGTAACTAGCAGCCATTCTCCCGGCTTCCCTAACGCACGAAGAACACCGCCGGTGCGCGTCCCGGCCTAGTCCCCGCCCGGCAGCGCAAAGCTTACAGGACGAGGCCGCCCATATGCCGTCACCTCGAGGGTTCCCCACAAACCCGACTAAGTACTGTGCGGCTGACTCAGGGTTCCAACGCCCACCTGAACTCGGTCCCCAAGAAAGCTCCCAACTGCCAGCTGGCCCGCCCCTGGGCTCACAGGCCGCTCTAGCCGTGCACAGAGCCGGCAATCTCGTTGCTCCCTGCTTGACGTCATCAGCGAGCGCCACAGCGCGGTGGCGGGCAAGCGCAGCCGGGAAGATGTCTCCGACGCCGCAGCTTTTCAGTTTGCCCGAAGCGCGGACGCGGTTCACGGTGAGCAGAAGGCCGGAGGGGGCGGGCGTAACTCAGCGCTACTCTTTGCCCTTCTTTCCCTGAAATTACTCGAATTTTGCCCTGGGGTAAAGCGGGGACCGAGGTGTGCACGCTTCGGCGTGGGCTCCTGGCCGCTTCGGGGGCTGGGAGGTGAGAAAGGCGCATTAGCTGTCTCTTTCGCGCGTCCTCTGCTGTCCGTCTCCGCCCTCCCGCCAGTGGCTCCCGCGGCCTCGATTTCTGGGCGTCTTTGAGCCCTGCGTGGAGGGCTTACCCGAAGACCGCCTCCGATGCGGTCCAGCTCCTCTGCGGTGCTCGCTTAGCGGGTCAGGTGTCTCCAGAACTGGAAGGGGAGTTACTCTGGGGGCGTGGGGGGCGGGAGTTGGTTTCAGCCCAGAGAACCGGTTCCCGCCCCGCCTCCTAAGCTGCCAGGTCGTTTTTCCGGTCGCCTATTCCTTACTCCTTTAACCCTCCGTATCTCACTCCTAAGAGATCGAGGAGGAGATCCTAAATGGGAAAAGGCAAACAGAGATTAGCTTGGGAAAGGTTGCCAAATGTTATTTTATTCTTACGCTTTGGGGAAGAGCAGTTTGAGCATTTGGGAAACACCTTACAGAGCGTCTTCATGTTGCCTTATTTAACTCTTAGAATAGCGTTGTGAAGTAGGCTAAGTTTTATTAACTCTTATGTGTGAGATAGAAACTGAGACACTCGTCTCCCCGCAATGTTGTGATTTACTTCACTGATTTTTCTGACTTCAGACCCAGTATTCTTTTTATATGGTCCATCATAGCCTCCAGCATGAAAAACTCTGTGCAAAGTTATTTGACTGTATTTTGTCTTTAGCATGTGTGCCAGTATTTCAAGTCATGAAACTACTCATTCAACTGTGTTTATGTAATTATAGTGATGGCAGATTAAAGATTCTGTGAAAGAAAATTGTTTCTTTGTAGTCAGTAGTTTTCTTGTGTTCAGGGTTTGTTTTTTTTTCCATACAGCGTGGGGTTTCTTTTTTTTTTCCTACCAGATTATATCTTGTTTATGTCATCAAAATCGTTTTCTTTCTGTGCATTTTGCTGTAATCCCTGGTGTTCTGATGTTCTGTTAAGAGTAACTGTTAGGAATATCCAAGATCATGTTAGTCCTGAAGGGGACCATTTAATTGGAGATCATCCAATCTAATGCTTCTGAAGCTTCAGTGTGTAGTGGGATCACCTAGAGATCTTGTTAAATGTAGATTCTGGTTCAGTAGTTCTGGAATCCGGCCTGAGATTCTGCATTTCTGTCAAGTTCACAGGTGATGCCACTGCTGCTGCTGGTAGTAAGGATCTACAACAACCCTCTTATTCAACTGGAGAGGAAAATGAAGCACAAAGAGATAAAAGGATAGGCCCAAGATTACACAGCCTATTGTGGCAGAGTCAGGAATGGACATTTCCAGTATAAATCTAACTCCTATGAGGCAATAAGATGACTTTGCAAGTGTATGTGAATTTTCACAGGACGAATGACTTTGCAATATTTTTGTCTGTCACTTATGACTACTTTAAGACAATCAGCAGGGACTGTGCCGAGCAAGCCACTTAGAGGAGGTAGGACTTGAGATGGGTCTTGAAGAATGGATAGAATTTGGATGAGCAGGCAGAAAGAACAACATGAATGTATGAATACACTAGAGTAAGGTTGATAGAAACTGATGAAAAAATAGCTAGACCTTAGTGGAGAGTATGTGTGAGGGGATAGTGGGAAATAAGATTGGATATGAATGGGATAACATTATCAGGGACCTTGAGAGTGAGCTATGAAACTTCAAAACCGAAACCTGTAAATAAGGAGCCATTTGGATGGTTTTGGTTTTTTCTTTTTAAAAAAAGCAGAATACTCTCATGAATGTGATATTGAAAGAGATGGTAGGAGGAAAAACCTGGAATAAGAAAGTCTAGCTAGGAAGCTCTTGCCAGGTTTAAAGTGATGAGAGTCTGTATCAGTAAGTGGCATTTGAATAAGAATTACTGATAGAATGACTGATAGGTAATTTTTTCCAGGTAAAAACATTTTTTAGTTAGACATGCTATTGATATGATTTTCAGTAAAAAGCAAAATCTTTCCACTTATTTGCTATTTTTATTTTTTTAGAAGTCTACCAGAGAGGCCCTGAACAACAAAAATATTAAGCCATTGTTGAATACCTTCAGCCAGTTACCTGGCAGGTAAGGCATTGATATCCATGAAATATGCTTTCCTGGATCTTTATACTCACCTGAGCTGTTTAAAAAATGCAAGTGTCTTTTGTTTTTTAATAGTGAAAATGAAAAAAAATGTACCCTTGACCAAGCTTTCAGAGGTGTTCTAGAAGAAGAAATTGTAAGTATGCTTATCCTTTATTGTTAAAATTTTGCTGGCAAATTAATAAACCAGTTTTTTTTTAAATTGCTTTTGTTCTTAGAATGGGTATTTAAGCATTTTTTTTAGAGTGAGCCTGCTGCTTTGTGAAAGCTAACTTGATCATAGTACAGAAAGTTATGTAATAATTAAGGCATTTGACAGCACAGGTGCAGTTTAAAGGCTTGGTTTAATAAATGAAGAGAGCCCTCTCCAAGTGAATATAAGAAAAGTTGACGTGAGGTCTTACTTAGCAAGAACTAGAAGTTGGAAGTGAGCCCTCTCATGTTGCTGTATAAACAGTGACACATCCTGTAGTGGCGTGAAAGCTCTAGTCGAAGGTTGTTCAGCATGGAAGCTGGGATTCATGCGCTCATTTTCTTCTGGCATTCTCCTCATCAGTTTGCATGCAAAAATAACTACAACCTGTCCAACTTCAGTGTAAGTTTAGAGTTCAGAGAAACTTAATCTAAACATGAACAATCCGAATTTATTTACCATTAATGGGACGCTCAAATGAAAGGGAAAGTTTTAGCAGTTTATTCTTGGTTAAGCGAAAGGATGGGTCCTGAGAAGCTAGATCCTTTTCTAACAGTTGGAATACAATGTCCCTTTCTTTCGGACAATTCTGGATCAAAATTCATTTTTCCTCCTCTTCAGACCTAACTACCTGTTGTGAACCATTGGGCAAGTTGCTTTGCTTTTCTGAACTCAATTTCATTTGTAAGAGGGGAAATACCATTCTTTCAGGGTTCCTGTATAAAACAACATTTAAGGAACACTCAATAAATGCTGGGTTTTATGATGTTATAGAACCTAAGCACTACCTCCCTTCCATTAAAGCCCTCCCTCAGACATATTGATGCCCCAGTACAATTAATTTCCTTGGCCCTGCCTTTGCCTATGCCATTGATTGAGTTTTGACCTCAGTACTTCTGTGGTTGAGTAACTTAGAGCCTTAATCACACTACTGTAAACATTTTCCTAAGGCCATTGGATTTTAAGTGAGTCATGTACTTATTACTTACTTGATATACTTCAACAATTAGTGACTCTATTACTGTTCAGTTTTGTATTTCCATCTTAGAAAGTAGTTTTATCTTCTGTAAGAGACATTTTTATCCCATATTTGTCATAATCAATTTAATGTCAGATGGTATGTTTTTATTGTTACCAAATTAGTCTCAACTCTGGCCCCTAAATTGTTTTCTCCTCTGTTGGTAGATAAATCATTCATCATGTGAAAACGTTTTAGCTATTATTTCTCTTGCTATTGGGGGAGTAACTGAAGGTAAGTATGGCTTTCTTTTTTTAAAGTAATTTTGGACATAACGTGCTTTATTTAAAACTTACCTGATTTTGTTTCTCCCTATACCTCTCTGCCTGATTTTGTTCTTTCTTCAGTTTCTGCCTACCACCTTTGCCAAGAAGTTGTCCCAATGAAATTAGCTCACATGTATTTTTCATCTCTATTATGCAGCACACATTTTGACACTTTCTTTGTTCTCCAGTTGTTTTGTTCATTCAGTAAATATTTATTGAGCATCTGCTGTGTGCCTGGTACTGAGCTAGGACTTGGAGATTCAGTAGTAAATAAAGCATATTCCCTACCCGGAAGGAATCTAGTAGCTAATGGAGGAAAGAGATGTGTAAATGTCATACCATGCTGTAGTTACTGTGATTGAAGTGATTCTCTAAACTTCAGAGTCTAAAGGAATCAGGAAGGTCTTAGAAAGGAAGCTATAACACAAGAGCCAAGATGGGAGGGATGATGAATTTGTAAGGCAGAAACAGAAGGGAATAGCTGTGTAAAAGCCACGTTCAGCATGGCTAAAGAACTGCGTGGAGCAGAGGGGTGAGAGAATAATGAGAATGGTGAGGAAAGATGCAGGAGTAGTAGTTAGGGTCATTTGTAAAGGACTTTGTATGCCATGCTAAAGAGGAGCTATGGAGGAAGAGTTGGGTTGGGAGAGACTGCTGGCAGGAAAACTAGGTAGGAGACTGTTAAAATCGGGCGGGGGCAGTGGGCAGCAGCTTTGAGAGACTTTAAAAAAGGCACATAGTAGATACACAGTGCCTAACACATTGGAGGAGCTCATTAAATATTTGCAGAAAGAAGTAATGAAAAAATAGTTTATCAGTATTCTTTGACCAATTTGGTTAAAATACTCATTTGATTAATTCAGATAATTTATGTGAAAAATGCTTTTACTCTGTAAAGCATTATTCATATATTTATCATTTTGATGCTTATTCCTGCAAAAACTGGAAAATGCAAGGTAAAAGTAGTCTTCCAGCGTAGCAGCAAGCTGTTTTGTGAACTTAAGCATAGTTCATAAATTCTGACCTTATGTGTTTTATATGAGATGCTTCTTCATTCCATCATTAAGCATACTTAAATGAGTTCCACAGTGGAGTGTTCTTTGCCCAGTTTCTCTCAGTTTGCGGCATCTGCTTAGTTCTTTGATATGTTACTGTTGTAGACTGTTAATGTCTTTAACACTTGAAGTTGTACAAAGTCTATGTTTAGAACTTTTACTTTCTTTGAGAAAGATGAGGACTTAAGAACTTAAACCATAAATAAAAGCTTAAGTGCTTTTTTATTTTAATTTGATAGGAAAAGTCCCTTCTTGAGAGAGATTATTATTGTATTATTTGTGTACCATGTTTTTGAATTGTCCATAAATATGTTTTGTTAAATTCAACCCAGCAGATATTTATTGAGCTTCTGTTCAGTGTCAGATAATTTACTGGTTAAAGCATATAAAAATGCCTACCATTTAAAAAGCTCATAGTTTATATAAAGATAAACAGGATTTGGTGAGTGCTATAAGTTACATACAGTGTGCTTCAGAAACAAAGATGAGGTGGCCTTATCAATTTACCATGTGATAGAAGGAAGACTAGGCAGAAAACAGCATTATCAACAAAACCATGGAAGTATGAACATAACAAGGTGTTTGGGAGCTGAGGAAGTGCCTATCTGTCGCCAAGGTTAAAGGCAAGCAAAGAGGGCAATTGCAGAGGCTGGGATATGAGTTGCAAAAGTTCCAGGGGGTCGTGTTATAACCCAACTCATCAGAATCACCAGTGAATCTCTATATTTAAGTGAGATTCCCAGGGCCTAGCTTAGTTTTACTGAATCAGAGTCTTTGGTAATGAGATCTGGGTAATTTTGTTAAGTTCTATAATTATTAAATGTGAGTTAACTTATGCCAGGCTATGCTGCAACTAAGAGCAGAGTATACTTCTCAAATCTCTTGGATATACAGGGCATATGGTATCATGGAATCTAAGTGTTAAGGGACGTTAGAGATCATCTAGTCCAGTCTCATATCTGGCCTATCCTGCTCCCCTCTGTAACGACCCTGGCAGGTAGTCAACCAGCCTCTGTGCCCATTGATGGAGCTCACTATTTGATTTCTGTTAGATAGTTTTGATTATCAACTGGAGTTGAAATCTGCTGCCTTATGCCACCCAGTGGTTCTAGACAGTATCCCTCACATCACATTCCAGATGTAATCTTATCAGAGCTAGAAATACTACTTCCTTTTTCTGAACATATATTAAATGCAGTGTTTGGGGCTTGCAGTGCCCCCTAGATACTTTTTTACATATTATGCATAAGTGGCTACTTTTCTTAAACACTTAACAAGTGTTAGTAAGTATTACCTTAAAATAGAAGGAAGAATGAGCAGGAAGATAAAAGTATTGTTAGTCTAAATGACCTTTTCTTTAAAAAGCTTTTAATTTATTGCTTTACTTTAATAACATTGAATTTAGAAATAAACATTTTACTTTACTGTTCTTTCCCTGAAACAATACTGTTATTTTAAATGTTTATTAATAGTTGAAATCAGTATCAAGCCTTTTTGTTATCTTATTTAAAGATAATTCTTTTCAAAACACTTAGCAACATTATAGAACATTTAGAAATGAAAAAATGGGAAAATACTAGTCATAATTCTTTTTAAAACTACATTTGTTTTGGTATATGTTTTTAGTTTTTCTAGAACTAAAATTTAAAATTAAAAAAACATGTTGTTGTTGTAACCATAATATACATACAGTTTTGAATCCTGCTGTTTTCACCTAGTATCATAAGCATTTTCCAAGTTATTATAGTCATCATAATCATTGCTTTTAATTGGCTGTATTACATTCGTAGTGGTGGTGCAAGCAGACTGGAGCTAGACTGCCTGGGTTCATATCCCAGCTCTGCCATTTATTTAACTTCTCTGTGTCTCAATTTTCCCGTTCTATGAACTGGAGATAATATTATCTACCTCATAGGGTTATAAGGATTAAATGTGTTAATATATGTAAAGTACTTAGTGTGCCTGACATATAGTAAATGCTCTAAAAGTGTTATCGAGAATTATCTTCCTCATTGTTATTGTTGAGTGCACATACCAGAAATTACATAAGTATGTCCCGTTTAAGGACTTTTTGGTTGCTTCCATTTCTTGACTTTTAAAACCTCGTTAGGACTGACAAAGTGTACCTTTAAGATATTCTTCAGAATTATTTTGCGTGGGCTGTTTTACACTACAATTTTTTAAACTTTTAAATTGACTTGTGCTCCACTTGAAGGTATTTGTACTGCATCTACACCTTTTGTATTGTTGGGAGATGTTTTGGATTGTCTTCCTTTGGATCAGTGTGACACAATATTCACTTTTGTGGAAAAAAATGTTGCTACTTGGAAATCAGTAAGTGCCTTACTTTTGTTTTTTTTTTTCTTGGTAACATTGTGTTTCTATGGATCCAGAGTCCTAAGAGTAGATTTTTTGCTTCTATTTCTAATATTGCTGATTGCTAAAAAGTGTATCTGTCCTTATGAAGGAATTAATATATGTTGCGCTCTCTTGGGGGAGCCATGTAAGTGATGTATGGAAGGAAAGCTGAAGTGCAAAATTTGACTAAGTAGTAACAACTAACTTGGAAATACACACTTACATATTTAAAGCAGTTACTTAGTTTCATGTTTTGTTACCTTACATATTTAAAAATATTTTTATTTCATTGAAAGTGTTATTTGCTTGAAAATAAGTGAAAGTGGCATAGTAGAGTCTCAGTGCATGATAGTGTTCTTTAATATTTTTACTTCCTGTGGCTTACTATTGAAGGATGTGTAACGACTTCTGAACAACAGTCATATCTGTCTTAATTTCAGAATACGTTTTATTCTGCTGGGAAAAATTACTTACTACGTATGTGCAATGGTAAGTTCTTCTGTGGTAAATGATTGTTTTTTAAAATGCAAATGTGGCCAGAAAAACCGGTAGTTGAATTAAACACAGTGATAAAAATTTTTAAATAGATTAATATCTTCATTTTTAAATAACAGTCTGATTTATTAAAACTACTCATTCACTTTAAATTAAAATGTTCCTGTTCTGCCTGTAAACTTAATGAAAACCAAAAAATTTTTGATAATGCTCTTCTTGACTCTGCTAAACTTGTTTTACTCCTAATTTTGTAGTGCTTTTCTGTGGCAATAATTTCTGCCCCATTTTGGGAACTACTGCTTTAGGAAAATACTCTTGACAAACTGGTTAAGAAACCTGGGTATGGTTGTAATAAACAAAGAATGATCTCTTCTGTGTAACCTTCATTTCTATGTATTATTAGATCTCCTAAGAAGATTATCAAAATCCCAGAATACAGTCTTCTGTGGCCGAATTCAACTCTTTTTGGCCAGGCTTTTCCCTTTATCTGAGAAATCAGGTAAGCTTTTATACATTAAACAAATGTTTTGTAAGAAAATCTTTCCCAATTTTTAATGGATTAGGATCTGCCATGATGCTAACAAGAAAAATGGTTCTAAAAATTCGAAGGATAGCATAGAAAATTGTCACTTTATTTTCTTTTACTTGTAAATAGCTATACTGGTTCTGCTGTATAATACAGGTAATCCTTAAATAAAGTCGTTGATTTTGTCTTTAAATTCAGAGCTTACTAATAATGATGTGTAGTTGAGTCACACTGAAATATGTAGATATGAACCAGTGTTTTCATTTTATTTCATAATGTATGCTTATTTTTCTGCTTCCATTTTCTCCCTCAATCACCACTGTTTAGCCACATTTTACTTCCTTTCATTTCTTTTACCATTTTTTACTGTGAAATATAACAGTCATATAGAAAAGTGCATAAAGTAAATGTATAGCATACTAATTATGAAGCAAGTACTTATCCAGGTCAGAAATGTAACATTGCCTGTACTCCAGAGTCCTCCCCCCCGCAATCTGTTCAAATATGCCAGATTTTAATATCTCTTTGCTTCAGTCTTTCCTTCTTAATTTTAGTGTGATACACTCTACCTACTTCATATGTTGTAAAAGTTAAATGAATTAAAATATGTGAAGAGCTTATGACAATGCCTACATGTGGTAAGACCTATACTATATATTAGCAGTGGTTTTTATGTGCTTTCTTTTTGTCATGCTAGATCTATGTTGTTTTTGTTTTTTCCTACCTATTTAATGTGGTCAGGATTTAGATTTACGAAGGTATTTACCACTTGTATTTCTGACCTCTATCTATGATCATTTCCCCTTTAGATTTTTCGTCAGTGCAGATCTGTGTTTTGGTCTGAAAATCTTTATTACTTTATTCTTGAAGAATGTTTTCAGTGGATATAAGAGTCTAGGTTGGCACTAGATACAGAATTTCATTTTTTAGGAGATAATCATAATCGTACTTTGTCTTCTATCTCCCATTGTTCTGTAGACAAGTCAAATGTCAGTTTAACTCCTTTGAAGACAATCTAGATTTTTTCCTCTATTTGTTCTTGAGGTTTTTTTGGTGTTTTTTTTTTCAGTTTTGCTACGATGTATCCAAGCATAGATTTCTTTTTATTTATCATGCTCAGATTTGTGAGTATCTTGAATCTGTGGATTGATGTCCTTAATTTAGTTTGTAAAAATTTTAGCCATTATCTCTTCAAATATTGTGTATGCCTCTTGTTCTCTTTCTGGAACTCCAGTAAACATCCTTATACCTTCACACTATATCCTCTGTCTCTTACACTTTCTATACTTTCATCTTTGTCTCTTTCCCTCACTTTCTGAATAATTTCTTCAGGTATGTTTTATAGTTCACTACTTCTCTCTTCAGCTATGAATAATCAGCTGCTAAATGAGTTCTAAACTTCCATTATTGATTTGTCATGTCTAGAAGTTGTCTTTTAAGTCTGGTATGTCACTTTTTAGTTTCTTATTCCCTACTGATATTTTCAAGTTTGTTTTTTAACCAGGCTAAGCATTGTTATTTTTATCTTCTGTGTCTGATACTTTCAGTATCTTAAGTCTCCATGGGTCTGCCTCTAGTGTCTGCTTCTACTGTTTCTCACTCATGATGTCTTATCTTTTTATGTGCCTGGTTAATTTTGGATGTTATATTTGTGAAGATATTTGAAGGAAAAATTCTGAGGCCTAGGAAAGACACCTTTCTCCAGATAATTTTCATTACTTCTGCTAGGTGTCTTTGGAAAGGGGCTACCACAAGTCCAAGATTACTTTAATCCAGCCCAGCTCAAGGCCTGTGATTCCTTAGATCATCGAGAAGACTTGGCACTGGACTGCAATTTCATATAGCCTTACCTGAGACTGCAGCCCTCTGCGCTCCCAGCCTTGAAGATGGTTGGGGTGGGATTTAGATTCCCCACCTTCCTTGGGCTCAGAAATTTACTTTTATCATCCTAGCTTCAGGAAGCTGCTAAAAGAGTAGCTCAGTTTTGCAGCTGATTCCTCCTGTTTGGCAGATGTCCTCAGGAAAGAAGTGGCTTTGAGTGCTGATGATGCATTGCTTATCTTTCTTGCCTTCTGGATTTTTGCCATATATTCCTTACTATCTTGTCAGCTCTTTACCATTTTTGTGAAAACGTTTTTCTGTTTCATTGACCAGAACAGTGCTATGAATGTGGTTTGTGCTCTATAAATATTTATAGATTAATGGAATTTATGCAAGTTTTTAGTTATCCTTAGTGGGAGGGTTAATCTGAATTAATTAACTAGACTTCAATTACCAGAAACTCACCTTTTTTTATTACTTTTTTTAACAGCTTTTTTGAGATGTGAATTCATGTACCATAGGATTCACCATTTAAAGTGTACAATTCATTGTTTTTTAGTGTATTCACAGAGTTGTACAACCATCATTACAGTTAATGTTAGAACATTTTTCCTTCTAAAAGGAACTCCATATTCGTTAACTGTCACTCCCCACTTCCCTCCATCCTTACCCTCTCCCCCAAACCCTAAACAACCATTAAAGTACTTATTGATCTCTGTAGACTTTCCTATTCTGGACATTTGAAAAATGGAATACAATGTGTGGTCTTTTGTGACTGGCCTTTTTTAATTTCACATAATATTTTCAGGGTTCATCTGTGTGGTAGCATGTATCAGTAGGTCATTCCTTTTTATGACCAAATAATATTGTCTATATGAATACACTACATTTTGTTTATCCATTCATCAGTTGATGAACAGTTGGGTTGTTTCTACTTTTTGGCTACTGTGAATAATGCTGCTGTGAGTATTTGTGTACAAGTTTTTGTGTGGATGTATGTTTTCAGCTCTCTTGGGCATATACCTAGAGTAGAATCGCTGGGTCATATGATAACTCTGTTTTAATTTCTCCTGGGTATATATCTAAGAATAGAATTACTGGATCATATGATAACTCTGTATTTAAATTCTTGAGGAACTACCAAACTGTTTTTCAAAGAGACTGCGCCATTTTACAATCCTACATCATCAACACATGTAGGTTCCAATTTCTCCATATCCTTGTTAACACTTATTATTGTCCGTCTTTTTTATTATAGCCATCCTGGTGGGTATAAAGTGGTATCTGATTGTGATTTTGATTTGCATTTTCTGAATGACTGAAGATTGTAAGCATCTTTTCATGTGCTTACTAGTCACTTGTATGTCTTCCTTAAAGACATGTCAATTCAGATTCTTTGCCTATTTTTAAAATTGGGTTGTCCTTTTATTAAAATAGTTATATGAGTTCTTTTTATATTCTAGATAACTAGCGTTTTATCAGATATATAATTTACAAACATTTTCTCTCATTCTGTGGATTGCCTTTTCACTTTCTTGATAGTATCATTTACAGCACAAAAGTTTTAAATTTTTATGAAATTTAATATATTTCTTTTGTTGCTTGTGCTCTTGGTGTCATTTCTAAAAAACCATTGCCTAACACAAGGTCACAAAGATTTACTCTGTTTTCTTCTAAGGGTTTTAGCTCTTACATTTAGGTCTCTGATCCATTTTGAGTTAATTTTTGTATATGGTGTGAGGTAGGGGTCCAATTTCATTCTTTTGTGTGTGGATACTCAGTTGTCCCAGCACCATTTGTTGAAAAAACTATTCTTTCCCCCATTGAATTGGCATCTCACCTTCTTTATGCCTTCAAAATACAAGATCAATTGAACTTTAGGGCCTTGGCACTAACTCTTTCCTCTGTTTGTAATCATTTTGTTGTTATTGTCGTATTACTGACTTTTGCTGTCACTCAATCTCAGTTTAAATTTCACTTCCTCAGTGAGGCTCTCTTTGAGCATCTAATCTAAACCTGCCACCAGTCACTCATTATCATCACCTGATTTCAAATCTCTTCTTAGCATTTAACACTGTCTGGCATTTTCAGTGTGTTTATGTTGTTCACCTCTGTATTCTGCGTGCCTAGAACAGTGCTAAACACCTAGTCGCCATTTAAATGTGTGATGAATGAAGGCTCTATCTCTTTGTGAAATGAAATATGCCCCTTCACAAGTACTAATTTGTGATTTCTTTTTCTGGAATTTATAGATGTAAGAACAAGGTTTCAATTCCCAGCCATTCTTTTGTCCTTCCTGGTTATCTGCAGCCTCCAAGCTCATTTTTTTTTTTTAACATTTTAGACTTCTTTTTCAATGTACTGCATTTCTAAACTGACAAGACATAGAGAAACCACTTTTTCTTTCTCTTATTAACTAGTTAAAAGACTAACAATATATGGCTAAAAGTAACTTTATATATATTGTTTAGTAAATTACATTTTTAATTGTTTTTTAAATTATAAAAGTAACACAACCTTATTTCCGAAAATTTGGAAAATGAAGGAAAAAACTGTAATCAATCCTACCACCCTAACATAAGCTAGGTTGACATTTTGAGATGTCTCTTTTCTTTTTTTTAACATTTATAGATGCTTGTGATTCATTAGGGTGTATTCCAAGACTTTCAGAAAGCCCTTTTAGCATGTAATTTACCAATTAAATGTTGTGACACATGACTGAAATTTTTAACTTATGAGAATTATGTCATGTGCTATATTGAGTAATAGTTAGAGAACAAAGGTATTTTAAGTAGACAGTGCTGAATGGTCAGCCAGGTTCATTCACCAGCTTAATGATTTGATCTAGCATGCTAGATTTTTTTTTGACTTTTTGTTTTGAAATAACTTTAGACTTAAAGAAGAGTTACAAAGGTATAGAGAGTACCTGAATAACCTTCACCTAGTGCTGACCTCTTACATAACCACAGTACAGTTATCAAAACTAAGAAATCAACATTGATACAGCCCTAACTACAGACTTTATTTGGATTTTACCAATTTTATCACTACTTTCTTTTTTCTGGTTAAGGATTCAATCCAGGATCCCACGTTGCATTTAGTTGTCGTGTTGCTTTAATCTCCCTAGTCAGTGACAGTTCCTCAATCTTTGCTTGTTTTTGTCATGACCTTGACTCTTTTGAAGAATACTAGTCAAATATTTTGTAGAATGCCCTTCAGTTTAGGTTTGTCTGGTGCTTTTTCCTAATTAGATTAAGGTTATGGATTTGGGGGAAGAAGACTACAGAGGTGATACGCCCTTCTCAGTGCATCATTTCTACTGGTGTTCTATGTCTTATTCCGGGTGATGTATCCTTGGTAACTTGGTTAAGATATTATCCTTGATCAGCATATTTCTCTGCTGCCAAGTTACTGCTTTTCTCTTTGTGATTAATCAGTATTTGGAAGGAGATACTTTGGGGCTATGCAAATATTGTTTCTTCCCTAGGCCTTGGCCCACTGATTTTGGTAGTGGTCCTCTGGATCTTGTCTGCAGTGATTATTATTAGGTTGCCCTGGTAGTGATTTTCTGTTTCTCTCATTCCTTCTGCATTTATTAATTGAGAATCTTCTATAAGGAAGAGTTGTCTCTTCTCCCTTATTTACTTATTAATTCAATCATCTTTTTCAATATGAACTCATGGATATTTGGTTTATTTTCTGGGTTATAATCCCACAGTATCATTATTGTTGTTCAAACTGTTTTATTTTGCCCATTGAGAGCTCTTTCAAGTTTCCCTGGAGCCCTGGAATCAGCCAGCTCTCCAAAAGGCCTGATTCATTTTATTTAAGAGTAGTATTTAGAAGCCAAGATCTGGGCCCTAGATATGCTGATTGCTACTGGAGTATCACTGCTTCTAGACCCTCTCAGTGGACAGAACCAGGAAAGTTACTTATGTGTACTAACCCATGAATACATGAGCATCTATATTTATTTCTGAATCTGTCTGTCTGTATTTTTTTTAATGGCCAACAACAAAAACCATGAGATCTTACTGGTACTTCTGTGTCTATTTCAGCACCAATAGACCTTCTTGTTTGTAACTTCTTTTCTGACATTGAGAAACTTGGCTTTCTCGTTAACTACAATATATTTATTATAAATATTGCTATATAGTCTTTTTGGTTAATACAATTTTTATTTGTGCTTCAGCAAAATTATAAATTATTATGTATTGCGTTTTGTAAAATTGTTCTTGAATATTCATAAATAACAAGGATCGACTATGTTTATTCTAATATATTTAGAATCCTGTGTACTTGAAAGACACCTTTAAGAAATGATTTTTAGAAAAGATTTGAAAATCGTGTGATGTTACTTCTGACTTGATCTGCTTACTTATGGATTTATCATTTTATGTGTCTTGGTTATGTGAAAGCAAAGTAATATTCTTAAAGAAGTTTAGGCATTTGGTAGATTTGCTTTTAAGGCTTTTTTTTTTTTTTTAATAGGTCTTAACTTGCAGAGTCAGTTTAATCTGGAAAATGTCACTGTTTTCAATACCAATGAGCAGGAAAGCACCTTGGGTCAGAAGGTGAGACTGATATTAAATCTAACAGAACATATTTGTAAGTTTGTTATTGAGATAAATGATATGAATGGGTCTTTCAGGTCATCAAAAATTTTTAAACTTTTATTTCTGGTTTATAGAAATAATATTTATGCTGTGTAAAAAAGTACAAAGAAAACAGAAATATTTAAAATAGAAAGTAGAGCTACCCCATAATCCAAGGCTCCACAGATAGCCACTGTTATCATTCTCTGTCTATCCTTTCAGGATTTTTTGTGTATATGAAGTCATACAATACATACTGTTCTCAAACTCACTTTCTTCTTTTAACAGTATAAAATGGATGCATTTCTGCATCAGTACATTTAGATCTGTCTCAGTGTCTTAATGACTCATGATGAGTCTGTAGATATATTACAATCCCTTGTCAGAGGTCATTTAGATAATCTCTAATAGTGAAAAATTGTTAACAGCATTAACAGGGAATAGTCTTGTGTATATCATTGCTAAATTATGCAGGTGTCTCCTTACGATAAATTCCAATAAGTGAAATTGCTGTGTCAAAATATATACATATATCAAATTTTTATAGCTATTGCCCAGTTACTTCTCAAAAAGATTGTACCCATTTATTTATTCTACCCCCAGTGGCACATGGAGAATGCCTGCACATTTTCCCACATCAAGAATTATCAGTGTTTAAAAATCTTTGCTTATTTGGTATATACTTCAAAAGTGAGTCTTTGTTTTAACTAACATTTTCTTGGTTATTAATGAAATCGAGGGACTTACTGTATGTTTACTGGGATGTGTTTTTCTTCTGTGTTGTTAGAAGCAGTGAGGAAGAGAATTGCCTGTTAATGCTGTTTGCCCATTTTACTGTTGAAATGTCTTTTTCTTATTGATGTGTAGAAACTCATTATATAGAATATTATTAACTCATTACCAACCATATGTTGATATGTTTTTTCTCAGTTTATAATTTTTCTTATAATTTTTATTTATGGTGCCTTTCCTATATAGAACTTTTAAATTGGATGTAATATTAACATTTGTTGGTCTTTTGTTTTATTGTTCCTAACCTTGTAGCATGCTAAAAGCTTCCACTTCACAAGATTATATAATTCCCTTTGTTTTCTTCTGCTTTTATGATTTTATTTTTTTCTTTTAAATCTTTAACCCAGCAGGAATGTTGGAGTTTTGAATAAATTGCATTATAATTTTATTTTTTTCCAAATGGCAAGCCAGTTATTTCAGAACCACTTGTTAAATACTCCATTTGCCCACTGATTTTTTAAAGGCCATCAGTTATAATCAACTTTATTTTTAGAAACTATTTATGATACATCCTGAAGACAGTCCCGAGTTGACAAGTTTCTGGAGATTCTGTACCTACTTGTCATTTAGTAGCAAGTGATAAAATTTAAGAAATTATTAATTAGATGTATCTGATATCTCTCTGTAAATTAATCAGACTACTTTATGTATTTTATTCCTTAAAGTGAAATCATTATCAATTTGGAAATGATGCTGACTTTGCTTAAGAGTTTTCAAAATCTTGTCTTTCATCTTTATGTATTTAGATACTTCTTGGACTGTTCCATGTAAACTTGCTATTTTGAAATTTTCAATATAGAGCTGGATACCCAGCATATCCTAAAGTGTTCCCAGTTAATAAGTGTTCTCTGCAGGGGTAGGGGAGAATCTCCATGGTCAAAGTTAGGGACAAAAACAACTTAAATTCACTTTAAGCATTATTTACTTTAGTTCTTAGAGTCCTTAATGTACTTATGATCCTCTCAGTTCTGTAAAAGATCATTGTATGTATTTCCAAAATGTATTTTGCCATAGACCCTTTATTTCCAGAGAGAATCTACTGACCATATTTTGAGAAATACCAGTTTAAAACTTTCCACTATGTCTTCATGACTATCTTATTGTCATACTGCTCTTAAATTCTTGTATCCCTGTCATATAGAATTCCCATTGCCTTAAAGATTAACTGTAGGTCTAGATAGTTACTGTGACTAAACTTCTCTAGTAATGGTTGTCTAGCAGTATGTGAATAACATTATTCCAGTGTTTACTTTCTGCGTGACAGCTGCTTCATGACAGGCTGTAAATATTTTTAAATTTAGCACACTGAGGATAGAGAAGAAGGAATGGATGTAGAAGAAGGTGAAATGGGAGATGATGAAGCTCCAACAACTTGGTGAGTTTTTAGAAGTTCAGATTTCTTGATTTACAAAGATAATTTCTCAATGACTTATCAAGTACTAGATAGAGAATGTAGACAAGGAGGAAGGAAATCATCTTCTCCATTTATTTTACGTGTAACTTTCATGTATATGACTTAAAATTGTAAATCCTAAATCATTGATGGACTGTGTCAGTTGATTTCTGAATTATGTTCAGACACTTCGTTGTTTGCATAGCCTACTTTGTATATATTTCTAATATTTGAAAAGCCAACCTAGGCACTCCTCCCTTCTTCCTTCCATTTAACTTTGTAGACGCGCTATCTATGGATATTGGGCTGACTTTTAAATGAAGTGGGAGGGATAAGAAACTTCCTTTCTCTTTTATCTCTTCCTGTCCCCTACCATCACTGTTTCTTATCCCATCCTCTATGACCCTGTGCTTTCTTTCCAAATAATTTCTTCCTAGTGCTGGTTAGAAGCAATGAGGACGAGAAAGGGAAGGTGTAAAGGAAAACTTACAGTAGCACTCTTCCAGGTGTCCCAGGAGACTCAAGTTATCATCCTCAGCTGCAATTGAAAGAATTTCCAGAAGATCAAAAAGACGTTCCTCTATCTGCACAGGGAGATGTATTCCTGATATCCCAAATTTCAAATTCAAACACATATCCCCAAAGAAACATTCCAAGTAGTGTGGCTCCAGGCTAAATTCCAGTATTTCCTAGTCATATAACATTGAGCAAACTACTTAACCTCCCTGCAACTCAGTTTTAGAGTCTTTAAAATATAGTAATGCCCCTACTTGTTATAGTTGTGAGACGAATAAATGAGATGCTAATCAGAAATGGTCTGTTAAGGCACTCGGTAGTTATCCTTATCATCACTGTAGTTATTGATGTTATGTACAATGATATATGGAAAGTGCTTAGAACAGTGTCTGTTCAGTGTCCAGTAGCTATTATTATCAGCTATGGTTTTTTGAGTATTTTTTTCCAGAGACCTATTTGCTCATGTGTGTTATGCATAAAATAGACTTTTGTGGTCGGGCCTGGACAACATGAGGGCGCTGGGCCAAGATATTAGGCTCCAAGATGACAAGTCACCTGAGATGTAAACAGAGCCCCACAGACAAACTCTGCCCAATGCAGTTTTTTTTAAACTCTGCCTAAGTCTGCATAGCCCCATTGATTATGTTCATAAACTAGTCACAGCTGCAGGAAAATCACTTAAACAGGACTCAGCACTCAGCTGCTGCTCAGTCTGTCACAATCACTATTTTTTGAGTAGAGGAAGAAATTGTATGAGGAATTATTTTGTGACCAGACCATACCACCAAACTGTCTTAGGCACTATAATTTACAAAGAACACATTACTCATGTATTATCTACCATATGAAGTCCATTTTAGATTTGGCTCAAATACATCAATAAAAATTATTGTATTAAAAAAATTCCAGTGTGTAAAGTCCTATAAAATCGTCAGCTCAACATTTAAAAAATGCCATTTTACAGAGAATCTTGGTTAAAACATTGGGGCTGGCCCAGTGGTGTAGTGGTTAAGTTCTCACACTCCACTTTGGCAGCCCAGGGTTCACAGGTTCAAATCCTGGGCATAGACCTGCACACTGCTCATCAAGCCATACTGTGGCAGTGTCCCACATAGAAAATAGAGGAAGATTGGCACAGATGTTAGCTCAGGGCCAATCTTCCTCACCAAAATAAATAGTTACAAAACATTCTATTTTAGATAGAAACTCTCACCCTAACTTGTTACTGTTTGGGTAAACAATAAGTAGTTACATTTGCTTTGTGTGGATAAATATAAAATCCAAAAGTATCTGTGGAATGGTGAAGGTGGAAGGCAAATTGCAGTGAGTTGAAACATGAAAGGAAGGTAAGGAAGTAGTAACGTTAAATGTAGACAACCCTTTCAAGTTTAGCCATGAAGGAAAAGAGAGAGGGACAGCATGTAGTGGAGAGGAAAAGAACCATCAAGGGGAAGGATTTCTTTTTAAATATATTAGTGCCTCAACTATAAAAATTTCCTAGCAGTATTATATTAATGCTAGTTTAAAATCTATTCTGTGAGGCACCTCAAACACATACCAGGCGAACTAAAGGTAAAAGGAGAAAGATCAGAAGGCTTTACAGGTAGGAGATGATAATTAGCAACTTAGAATAAGATTGTTGTTGGTATCAAACATTAAATTAAATGTGAGCTTCCTGGCAACTGAGACAAAAAGGGATATATAATGGTTCCATAATTCTCATTCTGTGATTAGATGTAGCCTTCCATTTTTCTTAAGAGACAAACTTTGCTGGTACTACATTTTGAGAGATATTTACTGTATTCTTAGATGTGGTAACTGAGTAACGTTGTGTGTGTGTGTAACGTGTGTGTATGTGCATGTAAGTATACATATATATGAAATCTTCAAAAGCAGTTTTTCAAAAACATTGTTTTATTAAGTGTATGGAACTGTACAAATAATTGGTTATAGTGTTATTTCATGGATATAAATAATTTCTATGTGGCTTTTTCTTTTTCCAATTTACTTTCACATTTTGGAAAATGTTCTTTCTGTGGCTTTTTTTTCTTTTTTTTTTAAACCTGATCCATAGAAAACCCAGCCTTATAATCTTATTGTTGTAAATCAATGAAATTGCTTTTAATTATAGAAAGATTGATGTTCAGATAATTGTTTTCAAGGTTGTTTGTTTCTAGGGGAGAGTGTAAAAAGAATGAAAGTTAACATGCTTCCTAGATTCTTTGATAAAACTTTTGACAGGAGCTAGATTTTGGCCAATTAAAAGTTGCCAATATTCTTCATTATTGATTTGAAGCAGGATCCACATGCTTCAGATACTAGTGGTTGATCTAGCAAAGTTAGCATTCTTTTATCAAAATTAGCTAAGTTTGCTAAATTATTTACCTGACTTTACACATAAATCAAAGCCATTATAATCTGGGTGTATACGTAAGCATAATTTCAAGCCTCTTTTGTAAAATAAAGTGCATGAATTTTGTGGCTGCTGTTTCCTTGCAGACCAAGGGCTTTTTCAATTATGTCCAAGTTCACAGCCCTGTTCCAGGCAGTTAAAGTTGTCAAAAGTGTGAATGTAAGATAGGTGGTGTGTTGCTATGTGTATATATAGTGTGTATGTTTTTAGATGTGTGTGCTTTTCTTGAACTGATGTGCCAATTGATATAAATTTAAACTATTCTTTAAATGGATATTTCATGATATTGACTTATAGTTTGTAATCTTAACCATATGAATTAAATTCCTGTGGTGAGATTCTTTATCAAATGTGCTTCTATATGTTTTACTAAAATATTTTTCCCTTTGTTCTTTCTTAGATCACTAACAGACCTTTTCAGATTTTTTTGTAGAAAACTGAATTTTATACTACCAAATTTTTTTATACTTTTCTACTCTAACCTCCTTATTTTATATACAAAGAAAAAAGGTATTTTTCACTCTTTTAAACATTAACTCCCCCTAAAAAATTTTTTTACAAAGTATGTGGTAAAAAATTATACTCACTTTATTTTATTATAACCCTTTAAAAAGCATTATAATATTGTCCTTGATACTCCCTAGTTATCAGAAAATAAATATACGCATCCCAAAGATGAAGAATGGGGGATTAACTTACTTCCTATTATTGGCTAGAATAGAAAAGATAAAACTCTAAGATCATGGTGCTATTTTAGATCACTAAACTGACTTCTTGTTTCCCATAGAAAATTATAGTCTTACTTGAAATATTTGTATGGGCAGGAAGCTTGAAAAAAATCCTAACTGTAATCATTATTATATTATTTATTATTAAGGTTTATTTAGAAAGAATGGAGTAAGGTAGTACACAGTCATGTTTACAGACAAAATTAGTTTTACAGAGGTGATGTTGAAAACTTTTGTGGATATTTGAGGATATGAAATAGTCAAAACAATCATTTTTGACATATGAGTAATACTAAAAGACTTCACTGGCTGTTTTGAATGATATAGATGATTTTGTTAAGAAAACCATCTCTTAGATTAAAGTCTGAAATGTTGGTTTTAACATTAAAAATTAAAACATTTTATAGTATAATGATTGCTTGTAAATTTAAAAATTAAAAGAATGTATATTGAGACTATAGATTTCTAACATAGCCAAATTAGAAGTTGAATTAATAATGCCATAATAAAGACACTAAAGAAAGGGCTTATTTTTGTAATACTATTTTGATATGTACCTAATATGTTTGTCTCATACTAAGACTTCTTAACTTAGTACATGTTGGTTAGGATATAATGCCTATGGCTTTTAACATAGACTCAAATTAACATTAGCTTGAACAACAAAGATATTGATTTCTTTCTCATCTGAAAGTTTGGAGACAGGCAGTCCGGGGCTGATACGGTAGCATTCCTCAGGGAGATTGTCTAGAGACCCAAGTTCCTTCTACCTTCTTGTTCCACCATCCCTTTTGGTATTCTTTTTCTTATAGTCCAGGATGGCTCATCCTCACATCTGCATTCTAGCCAGCAAAAAGGGAAAAAGGAAAATGGTGAAATATGGCCCAAATAAGTCACATATGACTTCCACTCCCAATTGATTGGCCAGAATTTAATCACGCGGCCACAGCTAGCTGCAAGAAAGGTTAGGAAACATAGTCTTTAATGCTGAATAATCATATCTAGCCAAAATTCAGAGGTTCCACATCTTTAGATAAGGAGGGTCTGTTGTGGTCTGTGAATCCCCTGAAGTTGTTTGTATAAGTATACATGAATATGCACTTTTCTCGGGAAAGAGGCCATAGCTTTTATCAGCTTCTTAAAAGGGTTTGTGACCCAAGAAAAGTTAAGAGCATTTTAGATATTTTAAAATAGCTTCAATGATTTATTTAATATAACGTTTATTTTATTAGCTCCATTCCAATTGATTACAACCTGTACCGAAAATTCTGGTCACTTCAGGATTACTTTAGGAACCCTGTGCAATGCTATGAGAAGATTTCATGGAAGACTTTTCTCAAGGTGAGTTGCCAATCACAGACAACCACAAGCCCAATATTTTACAGCTAATGGCAGAGCCAAAACTTGGCTCTTCTCCAGCATACTTTTCACTATATGATTCTACCTCTTACAATTTTTTACCTTTTTCATAATATACAGAGGCTAAATTTTAAATTAATATTTACAGTTAACTGATTGATATAAACTAATTTTTTGGAGTACTTTATAAATGACTTGAGGATTGAAAAGTTAGTCATTGCAGCCATTTTTTTTTTTTAATGTAGTGAGTACTATCAACATGAATTGATGAATTTTTACAGAATGCATTGTTTCTGCACAAAATTATCTCAGCTTTCCTCTTAGAAAAGGTGTCTGCACACTATGGCCTTGGACCAAATCCAAAAACAGCCTGTTGCCTGTTTTTGTAAGCAAAGTTGTTTTGGCACACAACCATGCCCAGTCATTTACTTGTTACCTGTGGCTGTTTTTGTGCTGTAATGGCAGACTTGAGTAGTTGCAATTGAGACCATATGAGCCATACAGCTTAAAATATTTACTATCTGACCCTTTACAGAAAAAGTTTGCTAACCTCTGTTTTATAGGAATTATCTGTATTTCTTTTCCTTGGCTACTTAAAGATCAGTCATCTTTTTCACTGTAATCAAAACCCAAGGTTAATAGGTAGCTCTTAAAAGTAGCATGGTGTGTGTTCTGTGTTATTTTTTATAATTTTTACTTTATATGCAATAATTTTGGGTTTTGGGGCACCATCTAAATTCATATTAAATGGTGAGTGAGAAATCATCTAGAACTGTCCCTCAACTGGATAGGACTTAACATCATTGTTTTATTTGGTCACAGTGTTTAGCACAAGAAATGTTTAAGTTTCCACAGCTGGTAAATTTCTGTTTACTCTCAAAGCCTTCCTTTCTCTGTTTACCCCTTCAACAGACTGCATAAAAAAGTCACATTTCTTCAGGAGTAGAGAGTTTATTCCTACTTTTATAATACCATGAAATCTCATGCAGAATAGTTTTACCTTCATTTTCCTATCATAATTTTTCTTTTTTAATTTTTTATTTTATTTTTTTTGAGGAAGATTAGCCCTGAGCTAACTGCTAGCAATCCTCCTCTTTTTGCTGAGGAAGACTGGCCCTGAGCTAACATCCGTGCCCATCTTCCTCTACTTTATATGTGGGATGCCTGCCACAGCATGGCTTGATAAGCGGTGCCGTGTCCACACCTGGGATCAGAACTGGCGAACCTCGGGCCACCGAAGCTGAATGTGTGCACTTAACCGCTGCACCACCAGGCCGGCCCCTTCTATCATAACTTTTCTTATTTAATGTGCCTTACAATATGCATATATGGTTAATGGGGAATAAATTCTAGGTACTTTGATGCAGAAAAGTACTCAACAAATTAGTGGACAAAAATGCCAAATAAAACTAATGGAGATTTTTACTTTGCAGTATTCTGAAGAAGTTCTAGCTGTTTTTAAGAGTTATAAATTAGATGATACTCAGGCCTCAAGGAAGAAGATGGAAGAATTGAAAACAGGAGGAGAGCATGTATATTTTGCAAAATTTTTAACAAGTGAAAAGGTATTGATCTTTCTTTTTCACTAAGCTTAATAAGAAATGGTCTTTTTTTTTTTTTTCTATTTAGCCAATATCCTTTTTAAGTCAAGTTCAACAGAAGTATTTCTTGCTTTACTTTTGGTTAGAGCTGATAAATGTTAGTTTGAGAGGCCTATTTATTCCTTGCACAAATAAGACTAATTTGATTTCAAAGGTGAAAGAAGTTCTGCATTGTCTCTTTTATGGACTCACTTTAGAATTAATGCAGTGTAATTACTTTCAAGTGTATATATTTTGAACCTCAAGTTAGGATTTAATGTGCATTTATGAAAATATTTTATAATTACTTTGCCATTTAGGTACAAATGAGGGGTTTAAAAATTTCCTGTTAATCTTATTCATAGAATTTAATAACTCAATATTGTTCAAATATAATGCTAATGGATATGTAAGTTTCTAGTCAAGATAGCAGGTTGAGTTTATATTTTGACTTACTCCCTTTGCTCCAAACACATAGCAATGACAGGTAAAATATTAAAAAAGAAAACCAAAAAGACAAAGCTGGACTTCCAGAAACAAGATAAATATCTTCATGGACCAGAAATGCCAAGTAGTGAGCAAAACTGAAGCCTCGAGCCTGCTGGACTCTGTATCACGCAGGTGGTGGCACCCAGCAGTTTGGCTCCAAGTGACAGAGATCAGATGTGTTCCATGTGGGATCAGTGACCAGAGGCAAATTCACTGCTTGAAGCCGGGGACTGGGGTGGAACTTTACCCACTTTTGAAAAGAAGCTAAGAAAAATATTACCAATCTTCTGCCAAGTCCTATGGTTTCATAGGAAGTTGTGGGTCTTGGGATAACAAAAACACAGCTTTGTGTCCATCTGCTTTCTCTGACCAGATATGTGCTATCCCCAATATACTCCTGAAATAACTACTCCAAAAAGTCATCATAAGACTTCCAGACGTGGGCCCAGGAGCCCTATGGAAGCAAATGCAAAACTATTAGACAGGAAAGGCTGTATACAGAGAGAAAGAAGGGGAAGTAAACAGACATCCCAAAACAGAAGCCTCCCATGCAAAACTCTCTGATAAATTAAAATTCCAAAACTCATGAAGAAATCCAATGCTAAGAAAGATCACCAACCAAATCAACTATTTGGATATACATGTATTTATTTCAGATCCACCACCTGACCATGACTTGAAAATATTTATGTTTTGGATAATCCAAGAGATGATTGTTGATAGAGCATCCATTGAGAATAAGATATTGTGAAACAAACTTTTCAGCAGCAATGAAATAGGACAGTTGAATATGACAACTACTTGGGAGTCTTGGAAATAAAAAAATATAATCATTGAAACCAAAGAACAGCACACAGAATTAAACTATAGGTTGTACACAGGTGATAGGAGAACTAGTGAATGGAAGATAGTGATGAGAAGTTCACCCAGAACACAGCACAAAGAAACAGATTTTTTTGTTAACATAAAAGTGCAATTAAGAGCCATGGAGGATAGATTGAGAAGTTCCAGCATATATCTAATAGGATTTCCAAAGAACAAAATGGAGGGAATGGTGGAGAAGCTATATTGAAAATGTTTGAAGGAAGTCCCAAGTTCTCAGATTGAAAGTGTGCTACAACTGCCAAGCAAGGTAAAGAAAGATAAATCCAGACTTCAGTGCATCATGATGTAACTGCAGGGATAAAGAGAAAACCTTAAAAGACACCAAAGAGGAAAAAAAGACAAATATACTGGAAAGAAACAGCTATTTAACTTTTAGCAGATTTCTAACAGGTATCAACAATACATAGCAGAAGATAGTGGTGAAATACTTAAGTGCTAAGGAAAAAAAATAACTATCACTCTAGAATTCTATACCCAGCTAAATGCACTCAAGACTGTGACAGAGAAAATAAAGACATTTTCATTCAAAGACCAGGAAAATATACCATTTTAAGACCCCCATTTTGAAAAACTACCAAAGGATGGTCTTCAAGAGGAAGGAAATTGAATCCCTAAGAAAGGCGTGGGATACAGAAAGCAATGGTGAGCACAAAAATTGAAAAATACAACAGAAAATTTACTACTGACTAAAAACAAAAAAGTCCTAATAACTGATTTAAAAATTTTTTTAATGTGGAATTTAAACTAGATGAGAACAATATGAGAGAGGAAAACAGCTGTTTAATGAGTAATTTAAGCATATACTGCAGTCCTTATAATCTTCAGGAGGAAGAAAAGAATATTGAATAGCTTTAGATTTTATTAAATATATTAAAAGAGAAACCACCAAAAGAAAGAAAACCTGTAGCTCTCAAACGGCAAAGAGGTAAAAAGGGGATAGGAAGGAATGTAGACTACTTTATAAATCCAACAGGTGGCAAGAAGGGAGAAAAAAAGCAAAAGGGAGAGTAGAAATAAGTCCAAATATATCAGTAATAACCATGTAAGCTGATTTAATTTACCTAATAAGGCATTATCAGTATATTAATTTAAATGAAACAAACATATAAACCTCTTTGATTGAATAAAGAATTCATAATTTTTATTTTACTCTATGTAGAAGAAGGGAAGAAAATCCCAAAGCTCTTCTAGCTTAACAAAGAACTTTCCGAAAGATAGATACCTTTCAAAAAACTGAAATATCAATTTAAATAATAATATCAGGGGGCTGGCCCTGTAGCCGAGTGATTAAGTTCAGGCACTCCGCTTTGGCGGCCCAGGGTTTTGCAGGTTCAGATCCTGGGTATGGACATGGCACCGCTCATCAGGCCACGCTGAGGCGGCATCCCACATGCCACAGCTAGAAGGACCCACAACTGAAAAATATACAACTATGTACTGGGGGACTTTAGGGGAGAAAAAGCAGAAAAAAAAAAAAAGAAGATTGGCAACAGTTGTTAGCTCAGGTGCCAATCTTTAGGGGAAAAAAAATAATAGTATGAACAGGGCAAAAAAGTTACAAAATACTACAACCAGTAACAGTTATATACTTTTAGGAGTTATAAGTTACATTTCTCAGGACATGACAGCTATTTCAAACCTCTGGATGTCTTCAAAGACTTTTTTTGTACAAATGACGTTTCCAAGGACATTTTAATAACAGAAGCAGGATTTTACATTTTCACAGAAATCTCCATAGTGGAGTATAAGATTGATGCTTTGGTATCAATCTCCGTTCACCACTTTATCAGAACTGGCTTTCTGAATAGTCTCCTTTCTGGATCCTCTGTGAACTTTCTTTGACCAGCAGTGTGGAGAGCATGAGCTTTCAGGGTTAAGCACTGGAATTCCATTAGTTAATATTTTGAGAGAAGTAAAAGCAGCTTTGAGAAGCTTAAAACTTTACAATATTGGAAAGAAAAAGGCGCAGAGAACTGTAACAAAGAGAAGGTGAGGCGTGATGTTTCACACCTTCAGTTCTGTTCTTTATTGCCTCTTAAGCAACAACTTGATCTTAAATTTAGATCTATAGAAGAACCCTTCTTTTACATTCTTCATGTTTTTCCTGTGTATTTCCAGTGTTTACTACTCAATATCCAAGTGAAACTATTTGTAATGCGTTATCTGTAGCCTTAAAAGTATGCCCCATTTGATAAGTTTTACCGCTCCACTGAAAGAAGCCTTCCAGCATCTCTATAATACCTTATGTAATGTTTTAAATCCCAGGATTTCTGAAAAGGCCATCATACCTAAATACATGCTAATCTGATGCTACTTCTCTACAACTTTCTTCTGGTTCTAGATCTGCACAAAAAATGCTCTGATTTTTCAAGGATATAGGTGCCTTATTCCTTGCCAGTGAGAACCAGCTAAAGTGAAATCTAAAGCCATAGAATTATCTAAAGCATAAGTCTATAGCCTGTCATTTTAGTGGGGAGCAGGTTTAGAGAAGCAGTCTTGTCATTACAAGGTTAGGTCTTTCACCACTCAAATAGAGCATATAACTTCATCTGATGAGAATCTTATAACTCAGAAGCGTTGTGCTTTGCTTACGTGAATGTGGTCACACTTTTCCTAGGAGACTCAGGAGATGATGCATGGCAAGGATGATATAACCTTTAGAGTTAGAGACAGGCCAGTCATATGGCAGCTATAGTTAGGCACAGGTTCTACAAATAAAATAGGTTTCTTTCTAAATTATCATACCTTCTTTCTTAAAGATAGAAGTTTCCCTCAGAAACAAAGTGGCATTGTAATTTTCAAGGGCCACTTTTTTGTGCTGCCTAGGGTATGATTGTAAACACTAATTTCTAATAATATGGTTCCCTTGTTAGCATATCAACATAATCTAGGGCTCTCAGTTGCTAAACATGGTACTGAGACATCTGTATTTTATTTTTTAGTAGAGAAGTACCTATTCTTTTTTAAGATTTTATTTTTTTCCTTTTTCTCCCAAAAGCCCCCCGGTACATAGTTGTATATTCTTTGTTGTGGGTCCTAGTTGTGGCATGTGGGACACTGCCTCAGTGTGGTTTGATGAGTGGTGCCATGTCCGTGCCCAGGATTCGAACCAACGAAACACTGGGCCGCCTGCAGCGGAGCGCGTGAACTTAACCACTCGGCCACCGGGCCAGCCCCCAAGAAGTACCTATTCTTCAAGTTTAGTCCAGAGTCATACTCAGAAATTTTACTAGAGGCTTTCACGTCTAATTATCCAATTTGTTGTACCATGTGAAAGGCAATGTATTATAGGAATTCTTCCCTCAGCACTATGTAGCATGTAAAAGCAGAACCAACATTTTAAAGCATTTAAGTACCCTGAGTATTAAGATGATGGTTAAAGGAATGTATTTTTCTATCTTTGAGTTCTCATAGAAAAGAGTACGGTACCACTAACTAGGTGTAGGCTTCAGGATTACCCAGTCCTACAGAATACTAACTCCCTCTTCCGTTTACAATTGAGACTCAATGACCAAAGGAAAAAGATCAGGTGGAATACTCAGTAGCCAGCACTTACCAGGGTGGTTACCCACAGTCACGCACTGTTGATCCCAGTGTGCTCATTAGGCTAT